ATTTGCATGCTTATTAGAAATACAAAGATTGCCATTTACTTGAGGAATATTAAAAGACCCAAGGATGCGTGACATGCTGATGGATGGTGTAGACCCAGACTCACCAACAATAGTCATCACCATACCAGATAGTGAGCAGTTGCCACCTGTGTAAAACACAGTGTCCAAGCTATTTAACAACTGAAATGCCACATGCACTGCCACAGGCACTGATGAACATGAGTCATAGATCTGATACCCAAGCCTTATCCCGGGCAGAAGCTCTGTGCTGTTGTTAATCTCTTCAATGGCAAAAACCATTGCTCGTGAGAAGCGCAGCTCACGGGTATTAATGCTGCAAAAAGAACATCAACTCAATATTCGATTTTAAACTACATAGATTTCAGATATTTTAAGCTTCAATAGAAAAAAAGACAGTAAGGAAAATGTTTAGTTGGGCCACAAACAACTAATAACTGCAAATCATCTGAGGATAAAATATAAGGCTTAAATTCACCATACAAGATTAGCAACTGATATCAAAGCAAAATGACATATTATTAATATATAATAACAGTGATAATAATACAGGCATTTATCTCATGTTAAAAATTCATAAGAAAGTTTACAAAGTATAATTTCACTCTTGAAGAAAATAAAGTATCAGTATCACTAATATTAAAAAATTATTGATTCTTTACAAATTATTAGACAACATACAGGTCAGGTCATACTATTCCAGCACAACCAAACATGTTTTGTAAACCAATCCTTTTACTTACTGACCTCCCACTGCATCTCACTGGCTCAGGCATGGTAGTGTAGTCATGGTTTACTGTTTGCATGTAGTAGTGGATTGAGAAAACACCACCAATAACATAGTCCCCATCCATTGAGAATGCAGGGATACGAGTGCTACCCTGCAGCTTACATTTCACAGAAGAAGCCACAGATCTATCCTGAGCCTCTGTAGGCATTTGATCCAGACCATCTAGAGATAGATCTAAGGCAAGAGCTGATTTCAGCTCAACCAAATACAGATATAATTTCAGACAAATAAACACAGCTGACAGCTCCATCCCTGCCTGATGTCAGGCATCTGTTATGGGTGTGTTTTCACTGATTTATATAGTTGTTCAAAGGCAGTGCTACGTCTTTATTATGACATGCTCTTACACAGCAGTCTTTGAGAAAGTCATTATGTTCTATAATCTGTATTTTACAATATCTTGAAATGTGTTCAAAAATAATTTACAAGCAATACATTTTATTATTAGCCTATCAGAAAAAATAATCGGTAATAATGCTCAATAATTTGAGCAATGCCTATGAGGTTAAAAAAAATAGTAATAGCATAGTATTTTGCATAATACAGTATACTGGAAATGAAAGGCTGTTTTCAAATTTTTATATTTGAGCTCTGTGAGTTCCTAAAAGGATAACCTTGTCAGACCATCACTTACTCACCACCAAACCTGTCATGTTGAATGACATTACAGGCAGCAAAACATTCCCCATAGCACATGTGCTCATGGTGAACCGACCTCATCTGTGAAAACCACAGGGCACCAATGGTGGACATACCAATTCTGGTACTATATGGGAAATGCCCAACAGACTCCACGATGCTGGGCAGTGACCACACAGGCCACTAAAGAACGTTGGGCCTTCAAGTAGTGATGTGCGATACCACTGATTTCCTTTCCGATTCGATACCAAGTAAAATTCAGGGTGGTATCGACGATACTGAGTTGATACCGATACTTTGTACAAAAACTTACAAAACACCTTGCCTGCCTGCAGCACTAAAGGACTCCGTGAGAGACGTCTGTCTCGCCCTAGCAGCAGCTGTCCCTTTCCACTGCTCCTCTTCAGTTCGCCTCAACATACACTCGTCATATTCTGTGATATGATTTACTCTAAGGTGTTTGACAAGGTTAGTGGTGTTGCCACAACACCTAACTTTCTTGTCACATGTCTTCTCTGCCCATATGTTCCCCCTGTGTTGTTACCTTCTGTGTCCCTCTGTGTGACTGTCTATATAGTGATGTGAGTTATTGTGCTTTGCTCCCACTCCTTGTGTTCTGTGTTTTCCTCTTCCCTTCGTGTATTTCTTCATGTTCTCTCCCTCTCTCTCCAGGCCTTTTCTCTGTATTTCCTGTGTTACTTTTAAGGTCCACATCTTGGTGTCAGAGTTTCCAGTTTCGTGTCCTCCCCGTCCTGTCAAGTGTAATTGTCCTCAGCTGTGTTGCCTGTGTGCTTCCACTTCCCTCATTACCTTCTGTGTATTTATGTCAGAGTCTCCCTCTGTTCCGTGTCGCATCATCCCTCATGGCTTTGTTTCCCTGTGTTTCCTTGCGGCTCAGTTTATCATTTCCCAGTTTAGTTTAGTTCTCTGTTTTCCCTGTACTCAGGCAATATAGCAGTGCTTTTGAGTTTAGGTCCAATCCCTGCCTGCACACAGCCGGATCATGACATTTATGCCAACTTATTCCTATGGGAATCATAAATGAAAACTTTTAGTTCATCTGAGCAGACACGTATCACATGCGGAGTTCCCCAAGGTTCCATCTTGGGACCCCTTCTGTTTAACATTTACATGCTCCCACTGGCACAGATTATAAAGAACAACAAAATAAACTATCACATTTATGCAGATGACACACAAATATATATCACAATGTCACCAGGAGACCGAGGCCCCGTACAGGCTCTTG